TCGACGACCGAGCCCTTTCCGATCGGCTCGATTCATTGGCACTGCGAAGAGATGTTGCATCCCTTTGCATTTTCTTTCGCATCTACCATGGGGAGTGCTCTGAGGAATTGTTCGGATTAATCCCAGCCGCCAAATTTCACGAACGCACATCGCGGCAGAACTCCCGATACCATCCACACCATCTGGATGATTGGCGGTCCACCACTGTGCGATTTAGAAGATGTTTTCTTCCTCGCACGACTTCCTTGTGGAATCGATTACCATCAGCGATTTTTCCGGACCGATACGACTTAGGGACCTTCAAGAAAAGAGCGTACTCCTTTTTAAAAGGCCGGCAACGCATCTGCGATTCCCCTGGTGTTGCAGTTGTTCATGGGCGGCGGTAGTCATTTACCATCAGGTGAGCCGCATGCTCGTTTGCCCCCTCTCCTATAAAAAAAAACTAATAATAAAACACAATTGTACTACTGATCACTTTAGTTCGCAGTTGTATCGCTTCGAAGTATTCGCTTATAATATAAATTCGATATTATCGCCAATTCAATACTGACTCGGTCGTGGTCTATACCGGCCTTATATAGGGCCTTGTTATGTACACCTAAGACCTGGCAAACACTCACCTGGGTAATTTCTGAGCTGCCCGACGTTTACTGGGCCCGGTGTGATGTATCTTCTGGTCAAATGTGTCCCTTATTGTTCTTTTATCCACAGGTCAGGTATGGAAAACTGCCTTAGTATTCGATGGAGCAGGGGAATGAGATCTTATCTACTGCTGGTAACGGAACGCCCACGTAATGTGTACCGTCAAAAGCTTTAGTGCTTGCGAATAACGTGATATAATTTCTACATCTTCGTTGGCGGAAGAAGAAGTACATGGATTGGAAACAATTGCAATGTTACGTTTTCCTTCTTGTGTCTGAGTAGCTTTGAAAACAGGCCAAGTAGCCTCATCCTTTTGTAAAAAGTGAGGATCGCGGAACCATATGATGTGATGTAAAAAATTGGAGGGAAGCATTCCGCGTGAAGCCGCATCTGCCGGATTGTCTGCAGACGGGACATGCCGCCAACGGCAGTACGGAATATTACTTATAATTTCTGTTATGCGATTGGAAACAAAGGTTTTCCACTCATGTGGCGAAGAACGCAACCACGCTAGTACCACAGATGAATCCGACTACGCATATATCTGATCGCGAGATATGCGATTCCCATAAATATTTAAGGTAGCTTTCATTAATCTAGATAATAATAGGGCCGCCATGAGCTCTAGACGCGGTATGGACATACGTTTAGTAGGCGCCACGCGTGTTTTAGCTAGAAGAAGGTAAGTGTCCACTGCACCCATGTCTCCCCGTACGCGAAGATAGAAGCATGCGGCATATGCTTTCTCGGATGCATCTGAGAAGCCATGAAGTTGTAGAATGAGTGTGGGTAAATACATGTCGCGGAAAAGTAACTTTCGATAAGAGTGGAAGCTCGTTAGTAAAACTGGCCCATGAATTTATTATATCTTGGGGTGGGTGTTCGTCCCAATCTACACGTGCTATCCACAACAACTGGATTAAATGTTTAGCAAACATGGTGACTGGCGATAAAAGGCCAAGTGGGTCATAAATTCTAGCAATTTCTGAAAGAATACGCTTAATACATTTGTTAGAGGTAATTTGAACACTGAAAGTAAATGAATCTGAATTTGGGTTCCACTGAAGACCAAGTACTTTAGTTTTCATGTCATTTTCCATCTCCGCAAAAGGTACGTTATAGTGCCGCTCACCATGAGAACTTGTGGGCTGAACCGCAGCGAGTAATGCAGGTGAGTTACTGTGCCACTTGTGAAGAGTGAAGCCGGCAGCCTGACATATGCTTATTAACTCCTGTTGTAGAGCAAGAGCTTCTGCCTCCGTCTTGTCGCCTGACACTATATCATCTACGAATATGTCACCTTTTATGACTTGAGAAGCACGTGGAAAACGAGTGGCTTCATCAAGCGCAAACTGTCGCATTGTACGAAGTGCGAGGTAAGGCGAGGAACTAACTCCGAAAGTTACAGTACGAAGGCGATAGTCACGTATAGGTTTGTCAGGAGAAGTGCGCCATACGATACGCTGAAAATCCCTATCTGTGTCACAGACTAAAATGTTGCGGTACATCTGTTTAATGTCAGCTGTGAAGGCAATAGAATGAATTCGAAAGTTCAGTAGAACGTCAACTATATCCAGATGAAGTTTGGGTCCTGTAAACAAAACATCATTCAGGGAATTCCCATGGGTAGTCTTACAACCTGCATCGTAGACCACTCGCATTTTTGTTGTTTCGCTAGATTCCTTCACCTTCACGCAGTGGTGCGGAATATAATAGGAGCCACCAGATTTAGTTAAAAGGCCATCACAAGGTTCCATGTGATCAAGGTCCAAGTATTCCTGGAGGCATGCATGATAGCTATATTTCAGTGGCGGATTGCGTTCAAGCTTGTATTCTAATCTGCGAAATCGAGCGATAGCAATGTCACGTTACTCACCAACAGGCAAGGCGTCAGGCTTGAAAGACAGAGCGACTACAAATCGTCCTGTATCATTACGCGTATGCGTGTTTTCGAAAATTGTCTCACACAAAACATCGTCGGGAGTTAGAGACCTTTATTCTGTAATTGATTCTATTTCCCAAAAGCGTTGGAGATCAAATTCATCGTTAACCGAGCTGTGAAACACTTGAACTGGGAATGAAACGGGTGAATGAATATTAAAATCTAGCTTGCCTAGCAGTAAATATCCAAAAATACTATTTATTGCTATGGGTGTACCAGGCGCTCCAGTCACCGTATTGTTTAACAGAATTTGGGGAAGTATGTCCGCTCCAAGTAACATTTCTACGGGTTGTGGTGTGAAGAAATCGGGATCAGCCAACGTCAAATTTTTAATGTGTGACCATTCCTTATAAGGTAATTGACAAGAGAGCATTTGTGTAGTAATAAGGTTCGGTAAGATTAAGGCATCGATTTGTACCGAAGGTTGTGTTTTATTTTTTGGTGTAATATAGCACGAAACTAAACCCTTTGGATAAACCAGTTTGTTTTCATTAATTCCGTAAACAGGAGGAATATTGACATGTTTTCTCGCTAAGCCCAAACGTTGTACGCACGCCTCACTAATAAAAGAAACCTGGCTTCCCGAGTCTATGAGACAACGCGCGGTCGATCGCTTATGATTATTTACGTAAACATCGATGAGCGCTGTTGACAGTAACACTGTACTCGTTCGTATTGACGGAGCAGATTGCGCACTAGAGTAGCGAGTCATGTGATTTATCGACCTCATAACCAGCTGAGAATCGCTGAAGTGGCGGGATCGTACGCTGTAGGAGGGAGTGAAGCGGAGCTGTCATGCGAATCAGCTGTCTCGGTTGCACTTACATAAGATTGATTATCGAAATGAATTAGCGTATGATGATGTTTGTTGTACGTCCGGCACATAAAATTTGATCTGCATTGCTTGACGTCGTGTCCAACGTGTAAACAATTAAAGAAAACGTTTTTACCACTAATAAATGTATAGCGCTCCTTGGGTGATAAGTTTAAAAACGTCGGACATTTAGTTAGTGTATGTTGGGCGTCAAAGCATATACAATGGAAATATTTAACACTCGGAAATTTGTTTGGAATATTATATGCAGACTCGGAGACAGGCTGTGATGTGTTGTTTCCTATAAATATACGGCGTGCGCCCGGAGATGCCGTCGTACGGCTACCGCCGCTGCCTGATGGTGTGTTTGATTTTAATTGACCCTTGTGTTTAGTAATCTGACCGAAATTAGGGTGAGAAATTTCGCTTGCGGACAATTCCCGCTCCAAAAAGAATATTAGTGTGTTGATATCAGGAATATCTGATGGTGATTTTAATGATAACTCAAAACGTTTGCGGATAGATGAGGGAATTTTTCGCAGTAAAATCGTTAATAATGTTACAAGCTTGAGGTTCGAGATAATTAAAAACTGCCAAGTGAATTACCAAAATTGACTATTTAATTACACAACACTAATTACAACTTAAAATCACACTAATAATAAAACACAATCACTTTAGTTCGCAGTTATTTCACTTCGAAGTATTCTCTTGTATCGCCAATTCAATACTGCCTTCGTCGTGGTCTATACCGGCTCTATCTATATATATTATATAGGGCCTCAGCTAGTTTCCAGAACCTTCTACTGTAGCGACATCTAGAATGTTCGAGTACATATCGGTCCCGAAATTTCTGGAAGGATCTTGACTCTCCTAGTTCTGCTACTCGACACTAGAGGGCGCTAGTGTAACTAGTGTTGCCATGTACAAGATATTAATAGTGGCGCGCAACACTACCCCCTCCTAAGACATGCTCGTCCCGAGCATTATTGGCCCCATAATAACGCGCCAGTCGATCCACATGGACGATCTTAGGAGTACCCCTGACACCTTTCTGTATCCGGTAGGTTACGTCATTGATCCTTGTCACAATCCGGTACAGTCCGTCCCATTTAGCTTAAAGCTTTGGAGATTTCCCTTTGCTGCGAGCTGGATTGTGTAACCACACTAGTGAACCTTCGTCAAACCCTTTGTTGGTCATACCGTGTTTTCATCTTCTCAGACGTTTGCTGGCCCGTCTGTCTGACGTGCTCATAAATGTCATTCATTTTGTTCCGCAAGTCATTTGCATAATTGGTTATACTGCGTGGGGCATCAGGTGCTATTCCGGTGATCAGGTCTGCAGGCAGCCGTAATTCTCTCCCAAATTTTGCGAAAGCTGGTGTCACTGATGTACTTTCGTGAACAGCGCTTCGATATGACAACAAAAGCGGTTGTATGTGCCTGTCCCAGTCTCGTTGCCGTTCTTCCACAACTTTTGCTAGGTACCTCTCCAATGTCTGATTAAATCGTTCTACCATTCCATCAGATTGTGGGTGGTAAGAAGTTGTTCGTGTTTTATGAGTACCCATAACTCGGCAAGTTTCCTGGAATATTTGAGACTCAAAATTCCTTTCGACAGAAGACTTCATGAACTAGTTTATTTGCAACTGTTGAAGCTTCTTGATTTGGAATGACGAAGACTTCTGGCCACTTACAGAAGTAATCTATCACAACCATGAAATACTTGTTACCACTTTCACTTTCCGGAAACGGCCCCGCAACGTCAATAGCTATCCTCTCCCATGGTGCACCAACATTGTACAATTTCAATGCACCTCTATTACGAATTTGAGGTCCCTTTACAGTCGCAGAACTTGTACATTTGCGGCACCAATCCTCGACATCATCACGATAGTGGACCCAGTAAAACCGTTCTCGGATCTTCAGTAGAGTTCGTTTCACTCCCAGGTGGCCTCCTGAACAACCACTATGGTACAGCTGTAGAACATCCGGTACTTTAGCCTTAGTGACAACCATTTGCAAATGACATCTGTCTCTCCGACCATTTTCCCATTTGCGGCACAGGACTCCATCCTGAATCAGCAAGCTGTCCCATTGGGCCCAATAGCTTTGCGTGGTCGAACTCATTGCTGAGACGTCGCTCCACTTGGGCTTAGGAGCACTGGCCTTCATCCACTCCAAAATCGGCTTAATGTCCGAATCTTCCTGCTGTGCATGTTGTAGGCTGTCCTTCCACTCATTGCTGAGCTGGTCTGTCTTGAGCATCCTCACAGATACCACTTCCTTATCCTCTTGCCTAGTACAATGCTTGCAATCTTAAGGGCAAGGTCTTCTTGACAATGCATCTGCATTGCCATGAGATTTCCCGCTGCGATATTCGATCACAAAGTCGTATTCCTGCAGTAGTTCAATCCATCTCGCAACTTGTCCTTCCGGATTTTTTTATTGATTTGATAGTCATTTTAGTGCAGCATGGTCGGTTCGTAAGTGGAATTTTCGCCCCAGAAGATATTTGCTAAAATGCTGCAAGGACTTTACCACAGCTAGGAATTCCCGTCTTGTGACACAATAGTTCCTTTCCGACTTTGACAACGACTTGCTGAAGTACGCTATCACAATCTCTTGATCACCATTCCGTTGAGACAACACACCGCCAAGTCCTATATCACTTGCGTCTGTGTCAACTATGAATTCCTTGCCCGCATCAGGGTACCCTAAAATAGGTGTTTTGCACAGACGGTTCTTGAGCTCCTGGAATGCCATATTGCAACTTTCATCCCAGCAGAAATGTCGCTTCTCCTCGGTTAGCCTGTGCAGAGGTTTGGCTATATCTGCAAAGTTCTTCACAAATCGCCGATAATAAGAGCACAAACCCAAAAATGCTCTAACCTGTGTCTTGTCTTTTGGAACTGGCCAATCTTTGACAGCGGCAATTTTCTCTGGATCCGTGCGGATACCTTCTTCCGACACTACATACCCCAAAAAGCTAACTTGCCGTTTGAATAGTGAGCACTTCTTCGGACTCAACTTGAGGTTGGCACTCTGAATCTTCATGAGCATGCGTGCCAGGTTTTGAAGGTGTTCCTCAAACGTACGGCCTACGATGATGATGTCATCCAAATAGACCAGACAGGCATCTCCAATTAGCCCGGTAAGTACAAGCTCCATCAATCTTTCAACCGTTGCTGGAGCATTGCACAATCCAAACGGCATGAATTTAAATTGCCACAGACCCTTTCCTGTGGAGAATGCAGTTTTCTCCTTGTCCTTAGGGTCAATTTCAACCTGCCAGTAGCCACTTTTCAGGTCCAGCGTACTAAACCACTTTACGCCTGTGAGCATGTCCAGCGTGTCATCAATTCTAGGCAAGGGATAGCTGTCCTTCTTCGTAACGTCGTTCAGGCGGCGGTAGTCAACACAAAACTGCATGCTGCCGTCCTTCTTTTTTACCTACACCACAGGTGAACACCATGGACTAGATGAAGGTTCAATAACACCATCCTTCACCATTCCCTCAATCATGTTTTCCACTTCCTTTTCACGTGCTACAGGCAATCTTCTTGGCCGCTGACGAATAGGCAATTCTTGTCCTGTGTTTATTTTGTGTTGAACTAAGCCAGTCTTTCCTATGTCAGCTTCGTTTGACGAGAAAACATTGGCGTACTTGAGTAACAACTTCTTCGCCTTGACCATTTCATTCGGGGAGAGAACGCTGCGACAGTCTTCTAAAAGTGCGGTCACTCTCGTTTGTCCATCCTTGCTGAGGGCCCCAGTCGATAGATATTGGCACCGACGCAACCAATCCACTTCCTCACTAGTACCAACCAATGTGCCTTTTTCTATAATCTGTTCCTGATCACAAAGGTTCAGCACACGTACTCCTGAGATGTCGGCGGTTCTGACCAAGGTTCGAGCCACTATCCATGGAAGGTCGTTGTCTACCCTTTCCACGAGTACACAACGAAGAGTTTGCCCAGGATTCCGAGGAAGTCTAACCGGCACAATCGTTTCCGATCTCGGCGGAAGAACAATCTTCTTAAGGCTGTACACATTCCCTGGTAATGCCCCTTCAACAAAAGGTTCCTCTTGTCCACATTTCAGAACATCTTGCTTAACGTCGATCTCACAACATTTCTTCCTCATAAAGTCTAGGCCCAGGATGCAGTCGTCCATTATATCAGCCACGATGACATTATGCAGGTAGATCATGTTGCCTAGCTTCAACTCCATCTCCTTCTCTGCAAGGACGGGTATGCGCTGACCAGTGGCTGTCACCAAATTAATGCGCTCGCGGTTGTATGCGGAGTCCCCAAGGAACCGACTTATAAGTTGGGAACTGACAACCGTGCGAGAGGCTCCAGTGTCTATGGTCAGTTTACACGGCGTTCCGTTGACCTCGCCCTTGATGATTAGGCTGTTCCCATTATGGGTTTGTGAGATCGAAATCCTTGGGGCTCTTTTAACATCAGCCAGCACCCGCCCCGCAGTCCTGGCTTTTACTCGTTTCCCTGCTGCTGCTGGGCGGTGCTATTAGCCGCACTACCCTCTCGAGATCGATCACCTTCCCTTTCAGTTCACACTACAGTTCGCTTAGGGCAGCTGGATCGAAGAAGGCCCCATTCCCCATAGCCGTAGCACCTAGGGCTGTAGCCGTTATTGCGGTCCCGAACTGTAGCTGCTGCAACCTCCCTGACACGATGGGAACGATGATCCTGCCGCACGGCTTCCACCTCCAGTGCATGGGTCAAGGCGTCCTTAAGCGTCTCATGGTGCCCGAGCCTCACAGCAACTCTGACTTTAAGATCGCGGATGCCGTCGATGAATGTCTGCACCAGGTTCCCTACAATGAGCGCTGGTACCGACTGGTATGCTTTTCGAACCAGCTTCTCTACCTCAAGGGCCCATTGCTGCAGGTTTTCGTTACTGCGTTGCACGCGATCTTTGAGCTGCGTACGAAAGACGTGTTCCAGGTGAGCATCGCCGTATCTCGCCTCCAATGCCTCAAGGAGCTGCTCGTAAGTCACTTCCTTACCGAGAGCTTCCAGAACAGTTAAGGCCTGGTCGCGCAGGCCTAGGGTGAGAGCAGTCATGGCCTAACTTTTATTCCAGCCGTTCGCCTTCATGACAGCCTCGAATTGGATTTTGTAGGCCGACCAGGCAGAAGTCCCGTCAAACGGCGGCACTTTGAATCCACGTAGCGAAGGTGTTGTAGCTACCACGGGAGCTGTAACTCCATACCCAAGTTTGAGGTCGTCTAGCGTTTTCTTCACGTCAGCCATCACGTTGTCAACCCGATTGTACACTTGGTCGATTTGGGTTTCAGCTTCCGACAGGCGGTTGTCATATCCCTTATCTCTTTCCCGAAGGTAGCGTGAAGGTCCTTCATGAGAAGTATCTGCTCTTCCTTATTGCGTTTGAGCTGCTCTTCCAACCGAGTGCCCTGTTCCTCCTGTTGGCGGGCCTGTTCCTCCTGTTGGCGGGCCTGTTCCTTTTGTCCGCGCTGCAGCTGTTCTTCCAACCGACGGGCCTGTTCCTCCTGTCCGCGCTGCAGCTGCTCTTCCAACCGACGGGCCTGTTCCTCCTGTCGGCGAGCCTGCTCCTGCAGCATCATCATCAGAGCACCTAAGTCAGGTGCTGTAGATGCAGGAGCTGATGACGGACCGGCCTCCGTGGTCAGCAGCTGGCCCTCCGATGTTTGCGGCGTTGTATTACCAAATCCTCTCTGGTCCGTCTCCAGCTGGCGTTGACCTCGGGTACGGATACCCTCCATGTCGTCCTTTGGTAAAATTGGCATGATTTGATCCCACTTCTGACACCAATTGTTACGAGCTTGAGGTTCGAGATAATTAAAAACTGCTAGTGAATTACCAAAATTGACTATTTAATTACACAACACTAATTACAACTTAAAATCACACTAATAATAAAACACAATCACTTTAGTTCGCAGTTATTTCGCTTCGAAGTATTCTCTTGTATCGCCAATTCAATACTGCCTTCGTCGTGGTCTATACCGGCCTTATATAGGGCCTCAGCTAGTTTCCAGAACCTTCTACTGTAGCGACATCTAGAATGTTCGAGTACATATCGGTCCCAAAATTTCTGGAAGGATCTTGACTCTCCTAGTTCTGCCACTCGACACTAGAGGGCGCTAGTGTAACTAGTGTTGCCATGTACAAGACATTAATAGTGGCGCGCAACAATAAGATAAAACTCCATTCGTTTGTAGGAAATTTCATGACTTCAAGTGCTTTAATGTTTTCTTGGTAAATATTTAGTAAGTTACGTAAGCTGATTGCTGATTTTTCTGGACAAGGTTCAACATCGAGAATTTTGTCGAGATGAGTGGAAGCTATAATTCTTTCGTTCTCATAACGCGAAATTAATACCTGTAAGGCTACAGAATAGTTCGCGTCGGTAATTGGTATTGATTTAATTAAATTATAAGGTTCATTTTTTAAAGTAAGGAGTAAATATCTGAATTTCTCCGCATCCGTGTAGGCATTATTGTTATGTACGAGTGAAATATATAAGTCATTAAATGAATTCCAGTCAGTACTATAACCCGAGAAGCTGGGCAAGGGAATTTTAGGTAATTTTGGATTGTAGGATTGTGCAAACGATTCGGAGTTAAAAGACCTACTCATACGCCTGACTTGTTCGTCATCTTGTTTTAATTTGCTCAGATGCGTGACAATAGCGTAGTATGCGTCATCAAAATCGTTACGAATTTTAATTTTTTCATCTTTGTTGAACATTTTTGTCTTTATTAGACATTTTTCAATTTTAGTTTGTAATTTACTAAACTTTCTTTGTTGTGCAGTAAGATCTTTAGTTCGCGAACGGAACTTTTGTTCATCGATCGTTGGGAACTGTAATGTTCTTTTTAAATCATCTAAAATAATATCTCGTTCGAACATGTCCTGCTCGCATGAAACATCACACATAAATTCTTCAACTCGTGCTGGATCCGGCATTTTACGTTGCAAAGATGACATATACGACACGTCGGTGAAAGTACGTATGTACGTTAAATTTAAAAATTTAAAGTGTGTGTGAAACTAAAGATAACACTCTTACTAAGACAGCACGATTTGAAAGGAAAGATTTGGCTCGCAAGGATCAAAAAATAATTATGTTATGTACACGTAAGACCTGGCAAACACTCACCTGGGTAATTTCTGAGCTGTCCGACGTTTACCGGGCCCGGTGTGATGTATCTTCTGGCCAAATGTGTCCTCTATTGTTCTTTTATCCACAGGTCAGGTATGAAAAACTGCCTTAGTATTCGACGGAGCAGGGGAATGAGATCTTATCTACTGCTGGTAACGGAACGCGCACGTAATGTGTACCGTCAAAAGCGTTTAGTGCTTGCGTTGACGAGGGAGTTGGCCGTAACTAGCGGTCGTTGCGGATGTAGTTGAAAAAAGGGTTGCTCGCTTCAAAGTTAAAGAGTGCTTGCCAGTAAGAAAAAATATTTATTCGAAATGTTATACGTAAGACGAAATGTTTTCCTTTCAAATTGTACTATTTCTAGTTATAAAATTATACCAAAACATTAATGAAAAAAAAATAAGATATCAAATACGGAACAGGCGTCAGATAGTTTCCAGAACCTTCTACTGTAGAAACATCTAGAATGTTCGAGTACATATCGGTCCCAAAATTTCTAGAAGGATCTTGACTCTCCTAGTTCTGCTACTCGATACTAGAGGGCGCTAGTGGTAACTAGTGTAGCCATGTACTTGACATTAATAGTGGCGCGCAACACTGCCACCTCCTAAGACATGCTCGTCCCGAGCATTATTGGCCCCATAATAACGCGCCAGTCGATCCACATGGACGATCTTAGGAGTACGTCTGGCAATTTTCTCTGGATCCGTGCGGATACCTTCTTCCGACACTACATACCTCAAATGGCTAACTTGCCGTTTGAATAATGAACATTTCTTCGGACTCAACTTGAGGTTGGCTCTCCGGATCTTCATGAGCACGCATTCCAGGTTTTGAAGGTGTTCCTCAAACGTACGGCCTACGATGATGATGTCATCCAAGTAGACCAGACAGGCATCGCCAATTAGCCCGGTAAGTACAAGCTCCATCAACCTTTCAAACGTTGCTGGAGCATTGCACAATCCAAACGGCATGACTTTAAATTGCCACAAACCCTTTCCTGTGGAGAATGCAGTTTTCTCCTTGTCCTTAGGATCAATTTAACAACTGCCAGTAGCCACTTTTCAGGTCCAGTGTACTAAACCACTTTACGCCTGTAAGCCTGTCTAACGTGTCATCAATTCTTGGCAAGGGATGACTGTCCTTCTTCGTAACGTCGTTCAGACGGCGGTAGTCACCACAAAACCGCATACTGTCGTCCTTCTTCTTTACCAGCACCACCGGTGAACACCATGGACTAGATGAAGTTTCACTAACACCATCCTTCACCATTCCCTCAATCATGGTTTCCACTTCCTTTTCACGTGCTACAGGCAATCTTCTTGGCCGCTGACGGATAGGCAATTCTTCTCCTATGTTTTTTTTATAGGATAAGGGTGACAAACGAGCACACAGTCCACCTGATGGTAAGTGGCTGCTGCGGCCCATAGACATCTACATCTATCAAAATGCACCGCGTCACCGGTCACCCGTGAAGACTAAGATGAAATGCCTCATTTCCAGTAAAAAGGGCCTCCGGCCACCTAAACTCACCAAGCGTAACACAGAGATAAACCGCTACTTCACGCTGGTTTTCTGTGAGGTCGTGGTACCACCCCGGTTCGAGCCGGCCCATCCGTGCGACAGTAAAAGCTGCCGCGTGGCTCTACCACTGTTGTGTTTATTTTGTGTTGAACTAAGCCAGTCTTCCCTATGTCAGCATCGTTAGATGAGGAAACATCGGCGTACTTGAGTAACAACTTCTTCGCATTGACCATTTCATTCGGGGAGAGAACGCTGTGACAGTCTTCTAAAAGTGTGATCACTCTCGTTTGTCCATCCTTGCCGGGGGTTCCAGTCGATAGATATTGGCACCGACGCAACCAATCCACTTCCTCACTAGTACCAACCACAAAGGTTCAGCACACGTACTCCTGAGATGTCGGTGGTTCTGGATAAGGTTTGAGCCACTTTCCATGGAGTACACAACGAAGAGTTTGCCCAGGATTTCGAGAAAGTCTAACCGGCACAATCGTTTCCGATCTCGGCGAAAGAACAATCTTCTTAAAGCTGTACACATTCCCTGGTAACGCCCCTTTCATGAAAAGTTCCTCTTGTCCACATTTCAAAACACCTTGCTTAACGGCGATCTCACAACAATTCTTCCTCATAAAGTCTAGGTCCAGGTTACAGTCGTCCATTATATCAGCCACGATGACATTATGCAGGTAGATCATGTTGCCTAGCTTCTACTCTATCTCCTTCTCTCCACAGACGGGTATGCGCTGACCGGTGGCTATCACCAAATTAATGCGTTCTCGGTTGCCATCACGTTGTTAACCAGATTGTACACTTGGTCGATTCGGGTTTGAGCCTCCGACAGGCGGTTGTCATATTGAGCAACCCTATCCTTCACCTCCCTCATCTCTTTCCCGAAGGTAGCGTAAAGGTCCTTCATGAGGAGCATCTGCTCTTTCTTATCGCGTTTGAGCTGCTCTTCCAACCGACGGAACTGTTCCTCCTGTCCGCGCTGCAGCTGCTCTTCCAACCGACGGGCCTGTTCCACCTGTCGGCGAGGTTGCTCCTGCAGTATCATCATCAGAGCACCTAAGCCAGTTGCTGCAGATGCAGGATCTGCTGACGGGCAGCTGGCCCTCCGAAGTTTGCGGTGTTGCATTACCAATTCGTCTCTGGTCCGTCTCCAGCTGGCGTTGACTTCGGGTACGGATACCCTGCATGTCGTCCTTTGACACCAATTGTTACGAGCTTGGGGTTCGAGACAATTAAAAACTGCCGATTGACTTACCAAAATTGACCCTTTAATTACAGAACACTAATTACAATTTATAATCACACTGATAACAAAACAATTGTACTACAGATCACTTTAATTCGCAGTTGTATCGCTTCGAATTATTCGCTTATATCGCCAATTCAATACTGACTCGCTCGTGGTCTATACCGGCCTTATATAGGGCCTCAGATAGTTTCCAGAACCTTCTACTGTAGAAACATCTAGAATGTTCGAGTACATATTGGTCCCGAAAGGACCCCGCATCATCCTGATGGATATTAGTTCCCGGTCAATTACGCTGAAACTTCAGTATGTTGTTCTTCTTGATATTCTGATCAAATGCTCCAATGGGCTCGAGGTCAGAAAGTCGCTAGTTTTCGAGATACAGGCCATCGAACATCCGATACATAGCTGTTTAGCTAGGCAAGGTGTCGGGGAACAACATAATACGTATAAAGATAAGTGAGATATTGTCACCAGTGGCAAGGAACATCCCCTGCACTCACATTTATCAGAAAACCAAGTACACTAATATCTATTAGGAGGTAGCTACCTAGTCCATTAGTTGGCCAAGTTAGTTCACCCAATGAGGTTAACTGGTTATGTGGGGTACTTGACTCAATTGGATCGAGAGGGCTGAAGAACTTGAAGCGCGTTATTTTCTTAGACCAAATAAGTCAACTGGTTATGTAAACTTCTTAGTGTCAATATAAGTACGAATCCACGATGATGAACAACTTTAATGGGCACAAAGTTGGAGAACCATCCGCCAAATGTGAATTTTCTTTAACTATCCTAAAAATAACTGTTGAAGAAACAATCAGTGCATTTAATGTGAATGATCACCAACTATCCTGAGAAGGACTTTTGGAGAAGCAGCCACCCACCAAATATGAATGCTCTTCAACTATACTAAATGGAGTGTCAAAGAAACGATCGCTTCATATGCAGTTAACTATTCTGATATGGACTATTATTAAAATAGTTGCTACATGAATATTCTTCAACTATCCCAAAGAGAACTGTCGAAGAAGCAATCGCTAGACAGATTAGCTTTTGTATTAATGGTGATAATTATCGGTTATTAGTGGTCAATACTGGTAAAACTGGTAATAATTGGTTATAAGTGTTCAAACTCGTAATTATTGGCTATCAGTGGTTGACAGTGGTTAACACTAGTTATATTATAATAGCGTCAATGCTGGGTTAAAAACGCTTGTTATACGTTACTACTAGTGAGTACTAGTTAATACTTAATAATTATTGGTTATTAGTCATTATATCTGGTCAATATTTGACATTATTGGTTGGTGGTGATCGATAGCGGTTAACATCGCTCATATCGGTTATTAGTAGTCAGTAGTGTTGCCCAAATGCAAGAACAAGACGAGACTTAGCAAGTCTTGGTCTTGGTCTTGCGCCAATACACCTGGTCTTGGTCTTGGTATTGCGCTCCCAGTCTTGGTCTTGGTCTTGCAGCAAGAGTCTCGCAAGTCTCGTAATGATCTATTAACCTATTACTATTTATTAAACGTTACTTTAGATCTTAGAACAACTTAACAGAGTAGGTACATATAGAGCTTGAATTAACATAGCCATAGTAAAGACCAACCATATTAATAAATGTCTAAACATTTAATGAGAAATTCGAAAAATCAACTGACACCGGGTGGGGTTTGAACCCACGACCTAAGCGATCCGTGCCGATGCTCTAACCAACTGAGCTATCTACCGTGTCCCACGGCCACGGGCGTCAGTTTCTTAATAAACGTTTACAATTATTATTTTAATATTATTATTTTTCTTAATAAGCTTACATGTGCTAAAACATGGTTAAACATACATATAAAAACAAATCAATGGCAATAACTACACTGTATTTTAACTAACATTATCTCTCTAGAAAGAGATTGATGGACCCTCACCATATATGAAATGGAATAAAAGAGTTATACAATATACCATTTATTTAAATAAAAAATAAAATACGATGCAAATTAAATTACTTCACAGTATGTACACAACAGCTTTGACATTACTGTTACTTTATATTTATTCTTTTGACAAAGCATTAATAAAGTAACTTAACACTTAACCTATTTCTATGTTTTCTAATTACTAATAATGCTTTAGAAAATAATCTCTCAGCAGGTACTGAAGTTGCAGGTATTAAAATAAAATCGGATACTTTGTCTCATGTTTGTCTCAACTAATTGTGTTAAATTTACAACAACGAATGTTCAAAATCTGAATACCAATGTGTTTTTAAATGGGGAGGAATTGAGCCCTGTTGTATCCACTGTTTTTCTTGGCATCACTCTTGACGCAAAGCTCCAGTGGGGCCCCCATATATCCAAATTAGCAAGCAGACTAAGTTCTGCAGCCTATGCTGTAAAAAAGATTAGAGGTCTCACTAGTGTCGAGACAGCTAGATTAGTTTATTTTAGTTATTTTCATAGCATAATGTCTTATGGGATTTTACTATGGGGAAATGCGGCTGATTCAGAAACTATTTTTGTTTTACAGAAGAGGGCCATTAGAGCTATTTACAATCTAAAACCAAGAGAGTCTCTTAGAGATAAATTTAAAGAAATTAATATATTAACTTTGGCCTCTCAGTATATTTACGAAAATTTAATGTATGTTCACAAAAACAAAGATAGTTTTAGTAAAAGAAGTGATATACATTCTGTAAACACTAGGAACAAACACAAGCTAGTGATACCAGTTTCTCGACTCCACAGAGTCAGTAATTCATTCTTGGGGCAATGTATACGCTATTACAACAAGGTCCCGGAAAGTGTACAGGTTCTCTCTATTACCAAGTTTAAATGTTTTATTAAGCTGAAACTGTATAAAAAGGGTTATTATAGTATAAATGAATACATGGTTGATAATAACCCCTGGGAATGAGGTGATCGCTTCCAAGCAGTTTCTAAAATAAATTTTGTAAATAGTTCGTAATCATTTATATTGTAAAATTATTTTTAAAAAAAGTCCCGCTGGGTTTCTTGCTGGTTCTTCCCAGGACAGAGGGTTTTTTTCGAACCAGTGGTAAAGTAAAAAATGACTTTCAATAAGAATTACACATGTAATGTATATTGAATAAAAAATATTCTATTCTATTCTATTCTATTCTATTCATGCTTCCTCCAACAGTCTAAAATGTCTTCCGAGATGACGGCTCTGGGTTTACATAGG